CCCCCCCCTTCTCCGTGGTTCACTAGCGTTCTAACGGTTTTTGTATTCAGGAAACATGTTGGATAAAGCATACAATTGGGGAAGTTTCGATAGGGTTAGGCGCACCCCCTCCTTGTTCGATTAACTTATGATGCTGAATATCTCGCGGAGGCGGTCCCCTTGGTTACGCATGTGCATAGGGTAATGCCCACGACGACGATTTTCTGGGTTCGACTCAACGTTCTGCCCAATACTTGAAGTTTGAAGTTGCACTGGGGTTCGGTGGTGGTGGACTGGACCTCTCCTCCTGGTATGTATACGCTACAACCCCACAACTACTGCTTTGCTTCTGCTTTGCTGTTCAACTCATCTTTGCAAAGGTTGTGGATTTTGGCTCTTCCATGCGATCCGGCACCGCGATCGACCTCGACGACTCGACGCTCGGGACGACTTGGTACCTGCCCCCGGAGGCTGTGGTGTTGGACGAGGAGCCTCGTCCTACCGACGGTGGTGGTGGTACCGGGCAGCAGCAGGGTCACGAGCTCTTGGTGACGCCGGCGCTGGATATGTGGGCCGTCGGTTGCATCTTGTTCATGTAAGGGCGGCGGCCAGGGGGGTACGCAATTTCGTTTTAATTGTTTCTACGTCTGAATGTATGTTTTACGGTACGCACCCGAGAGGGCGGAACTCCCCCCCCCCCGGCGGTGTCTTGGTTGTGCAAGGAAGCAATCCACTCAGGAGTTGTGTCTGGAATACCGCCCACTCGAAAGCTTTCTCAGCCGAGTGCCACACATCTGGAAGTAACCACTAATTACGTTATTCTCTGTCAAGAGGAGCTTTCCAGCAAGTGCCCCTCTGGCACACAACTAACTTCTGCATGCAGAGGTCGTTTGCGCAAGTTGCGAAGCTATGTATTAACGAATTGCCAAGAATCAAGATCGAATAAAACAAAATCAAGATGGGCTCGGTTGCCGAAAAGACAAGATTTTGGTTTTGATATTTGAAGTTGTTAATTTGATTCAAGAGGTCCCCCGAAGGCATTATTTCACACTCAGGCGTTATGTTTGGTCTTCGACCAATCACAACCGTTCAATTTTGGTTATGGATATTGATTTTCGGCCCCCCGGTAAGCGACGGTTCTCGTTCTCCGCCAGCATCGCCGCTTCCACTTTCTTGACACACGTCTCTATTTTTCCCCGCATTCTTTACACCTACGGTTTGTTATTCTTTGTTTTAGTTGTACCTTTTCGTGTGCATTCCAAATGAAAACAAATTAATCTGTCACCACGGCCAAGAGAGGATCCAGGATAAAAAATAGCAATGAATCCAAAGTGTTGTGTGAACCCTAGCTGTTGGTTTCCTTCTCTGCAGCCAATATCTCGTTGTTTCTGCCCCCCCACTGCAACTTACAGCATGCCTCTGTGGTTCACGAGAACGGAAGATGTAGAATTGTGTTTTGTGACCTAGTGATATATATTTTTTTATCTTCTGCAGCCCAACCCCTCGTTGTTTCTGCCCCCCCCCCCGTGGCCCCATCTGCATCTTCCAGCATGCTGTGTGGAGCACATCCGTTCGACCTCGACAGCAACTCCGAGGAGGAAGAAGTGATCAAGCGAGTGCGCTCGGGCGTCGTCCCGCTCCTGGAGCTCGGTGGCGGTGTCTCCGACTCTGCCAAGGATCTCATCTCCAGGCGAGTGGCGGTAATGTCCACGTCAATTTTTCTAACGAATCAATCATGCTTCATGTATGTATGGAATCCGCTCGGTTGAGGGTTAGGGTTAGGGTTTGCATGGCCCCTGTCTGGTCTTGTTTTGGGTTGAACTTTCTTTCTTTGTGTTGGCAGTCCAACGACGCACAGAAAAGAGGGCTTCCTTCGGAGTCGCGCCGTGGGAGGCCATTAGGAGAGGCAGCACGGTAGTTGGATCCTGCGAGCCTTGTCTCTCCGTCTTTCGCTGAAGAGATGATTCCAATGAAGTATCATCGCAGTGTTGCGTGCCTTGTGGACCGGGAAGGGCATTCTGGTCAGAGTTGAGTTGAACAAGGCATTGTTCGGAGAAGTTTTTTTTTTTTTTCTCCCATCATTGGACTCTGTCGTCTGCCCCTCTGGCCCCTATCCTCCACTACTACTAGCTAGACGACCCAACCGGGGTCACATAGGAGGGGGGGGTTGGACCCCCTCCTGCGGTTCACGCCTGAGGTATTTTTATCGCGAGAAGGGTACAGCAATCCCTTCCCTCGCGACTTACAAAGTCGATTATGGTTTACTGACAAACGAGCTTTGCAGCGCGTCGCTTTCATCCTAGACCAGGACATATTCAGCGAGAAAAAAACTCTCTCTTTCGGGACTCGAACCCATGACCTGGCCCTAAGCAGGCTGGAGGCTACCCACTAGACCACCGGGGCGACCGGTGTGATGTGTTGTATGTTGGGGGAATAAGGATGGTTGGTGTCACGACAGTGAATGCCGCACGTATCAACAACAACGATGTGACGGCGACATGGCGTTACTGCAACCAGGTTGTTGACGAGGGACCCGAAGGAGAGGCTGACAGCAGAGGAGATGATGCAGCATCCCTGGATACAGGTGTGTGTGTCTGAGAGAGAGGGAGAGCGAGAGAANTCATTCGCAAGGTTCAGCCGAGTGAGAGAGGTAGAGAGAGAGAGAGAGAGAGAGAGAGAGAGAGAGAGAGCGAAAGCGAAAGCGAAAGCGAAAGCGACCACTTCAGAGAGGGAATACGGACTGACTATTCATTGAGAGACTGAGAAAAAACGGCCACTGCAGAGAGGGGGGGACAGATAAGGAGAGACTACTTCATAGACACAAAATAGAGCGAGGCTGAGACGATGGTGTACAGGATCGACCTTTTTAAACTGGACGCTACCCTTGTGTGTTGACCTACTTATAGAGCATTGCAGTGCAGAGTCGACCACTTCGATGAACCAGATCGGAGCTTGAAGGTATCGCACAGCATTTTTTTTTTCTTGTGTTGACTGTCTTTTCTTTTTCGACCTGAGGCAAGACCTAAGGTTTTGCTCCCTCAGTATTGCATTGCCGGTGATCTCCTGCCCTATTTTTCCATTTTTGAGAGGTCCGCATATACCTTTAGGTGTGCACTCGGGTAGATGCAGGTTTTGTTGTTTTGTGTTATCCCATTTACTCTGAGATCGGCCCTTACACCTTCCGGTCCGGTGCAGTTCTGGACGCACCAGCTGAGGTATCGCATTTGGAAATTCTGGTGCTGTGCTCCATTTCGAATTGTCTCTTTCAATATTTTTTCTTTGTATTTTTTCGAATTTTCTCCTTGTTTTTTTCCATGTTATTTTTTTGCTTCGAGGTTTCTCACCTCTCTTAGAGGCTTATGCTCGGTTGCGGCTTTCCCATTCTTCGGACACGTAAATACAGACACGCGGCAGCAACACGTGGAGCTGTTGTAGCCCGGTGAATGGCATCCCATCCCTGAATTTTTTTTTGGTTGTGCGAGGAAACACAAAAAACTACCGTCGAGACATCGTTGACCTACCTCCCCGTCGTACCTATTGAAACACGAATGGTGCTGTTGCTACTGCTGCTGCAGGGAAGAACGGCACCGCAGAGGCCGTTGAAAGGGAGCGATGCTCGACTGGCCCGTTTTCGGGAGGTCCTGAGCCAGAAACTGGAGACAGGGGTGGTGTCTATGCTTGTGGAAGGGGCTGTGGCCGAGGTAACCTATTTTTTCACAAGAGGGTTTTTGTGTTTTTTTTTTTGGTTGTTGCCGTTGTCCGCGCGTGGCCGACGCGTGGAAGCTGACAAACATCAATGCGAAGAAGAAGAAAGCCAACTCCAACGGCTACAACGCGAACAGCTATAACACCAGGAGAAACAGCACGCGTCCACCTCCGATGTGTTCCTGCTTTTCCCCAATCCTCCTGTGGCGATGTCACACAGGGAAACAGCCAGGACCAATACACGTACAACCCGTACGGCGGTTACATGGGCAACAACAGCAATAGCAGGAACAGCAGCAGCAGCAGCGGCGGCGACGGTGAAGGGTCTCGAGTAGTTGTGGAGGCGGTGGACGTCGTCAAGAACGCCTACCGGGCTTTCGACCGCCGTGGGACGGGTCGCATTAGCGCCATGGTATGAGACCTTGTGCATTTCACGGTCACAAGCGTTTTTTGCTGGTACATGCCTCCATGCTGGTGCAGTCTCTTTTTTTTGTCCTTTCGAATCGCCAAGCGACAGTGATTGGTTGCTGTTCGAGAGTGTTTTTTTTCTTTTCTTGCTCTCTGCTTGGTATTTTTGTCCACGCGCGTTGGAATCAATCCACGCCCAAGACACCGAGCAAGCTCCTCATTATTTTGTTGAAACCGAGACTCAAGACCTTTGTCTTCCTGGCTCCGGCCGACCCCTAGTCCCATTGCGTCACAATGCCAAAACATGTGTAGGGCAAGCGATGCCGAGTGACTGCTGTTAAGGCTGCAACTGAGCTCAACCATTTCCGCTAACATTTGTGTCGTGCTTGTTTCTTTTGCCACCATCCGGTCTGGTCGATCTCGTGTTCGACGTCGAACACGATATATTGTCAGACTCAGGGATTGATTATGTTGTTCTTTTCGAAATGCATACGTCGTTCCGCTAAGATTCCACTTGGTCCGCGCTCTGCTTGCCGTCTGCCCTGCCGCGTTATTGAATGTTTTCCACGTACGTCCTACAGGACATCGCGGGTGTTTTAGAAGAGCACAGCGCATCCGTGAGCGAGGATGAGCGCAGGGCGATTGACGAGGCCGTGTCCGTCGCCAGAAACTTCAGGTCTGCATTTTTGTTTTTGTTGTTGTTGTTGTTGTTGTTGTTGTTGTTGTTGTTGTTGTTGTTGTTGATGTTGCTGCTGCTGTTTGTTGATGTTGGTGTTGGTGTTGTTTCTGTCGCTGATTGCTGTTAGTGTTGCTGTGGTTTCTGTTGCTGGTTATTGTTGTTTTGTTGTTGTTGCTGTTTAGGACGAATCCGTAAATAATGTAGAAAACACGCTCTCGTGTAATACTTTTACGAATCGCCGGTCAGGGTGCCGGCCCCCGAGGGAACAAACTTCGACAAACAATATCCAAGGCAGGTAACAAAATTTATATCCACCCCGTTTGGCGCGCGTGTTTCGGTCCGCATCCCCGCACTTTCTCCGCTGTGTGTATATTTGTGTGAACCTGTAGGCGGCCATCGGGGTCAAGACCGCCGGTGTTGCCGCACAGCCACGTCGAATCCCCCGCCACCGCCGCCACGGGAGAAGACGCCAGAGGTAACGGGGGAACCAGCAGCAGCAGCAGCAGCAGCAGCAGCAGCAGCAGCAGCAGTAGCAGTAGCAACGAGGACTCGAAGGCAGCGGCGACGGCGACGGCAGGCGGGGGTGGTGCGATCGCAGCAAGAGAGAGGCTGTCGACAACGGCCCTGTCACAACAACCAACACCACCGGCGGCGACGTCGATCCTGGGAACAGCAACCACGGCAACCGCAACCGCAACAACTGCTAGTACTACTACGGCGGCAGCGGCCACGGTCACGACGTTAGCGCCGTTGTCGACGGCGATGGAGGATAAGGAGATCGAACCGGAGGAGGCGGGAACGGGGGCCACGGAGGAAGAGGACGGGCTTGACATGTCGGACTTCGAGGACCTTCTTCTGGACCACCTGAAGACCACCGAGTACACGCCTGGGGAATTCGTCTTCAGGTGAACGTTAGCCTCCTTGTTGTTGCATTCATTTCTGTTTGTCGCTCGACGTGTTGGAAGCATTGGCGTGTTTGTTTCTCTTCTTGGGTCATCATTCGCCATGCGCCCCACCCCCCGCCTGTGTTTTCTTGAGGAATACGCTGGCATTTTTCTTGAGGTATACATGGCCGGCCGTCGTGTCGGAATCGAAGTTGTTGCTATTGTTGCTGTAGTAGCTTTCGCTGTTGGTCGCCGTCTTCACTGTTTTCGCCGTTTTTTTGTTCTCTGTTTGGGCCCACTTTCCGTCATTCCTGTTGCGCATTTTCAGGGAGGGAGACGCGCCCGATGGTGGCCTGTACTTCATTGTTGAAGGGCGCGTGGATGTGCTCGTGAACAGCGCGGGCTGGCAGAGCAGTGGTGCCGGGGACGAAGGCGGATCATCCCCGGATACGACGAACGCCGACTCACAGCCGCCGACGCCGGCACACCACGCCCATACGAGGTAAGCTAGGCACGGTAATATCATGCCTATTTTATGTTTTTGTTTTTCTGTGGCAGACAAAAAATTATATAGTGCATCTATATAAATTTATTGGTTTTTGGGTTTTTGAACGCCAAGAAATAGGAATATATGTGTGTTTTTATTTAAACATATACTACTATAATTTTTTGGGTTTTCGGAGGACAAGTCGTGCAATAAAAGCCTGCTTCGGGATTCTTATAAAGCTTCTCCGAGAAGGCTGACCAGTCGCCGAAATGGGTGAGAGCTGTGATACACATACCGTTGGCAAGTTCCACCGCATGCTCAGCACTTTGTCGGACGGCCGCCGTTGGTATGGCTCACGACTTTCATACATCCGCTCCTCTCGCAGCTACAAATGCTTCAATGCGCCCGGCGCCGCCGACGGGATGAGCGTGCTCATGTTCTGCATCCCTTAGCTGTTAGACTATCGACCACGGGTCATCGGGAGGAAGGAAAATTGTTCCTACGGGACCGATGGCCAATCTTTCCTTCGTACTTTGCTTCTCAGGGGGCGGCCCCCGTTGAGTGCAGAATAACTGGAAATGGTGCTACTTTTTTGTGTTTGTGGTTCGCTATTTTTAGGTCAGACGAGGGCAACCCACCCTTTCTGCGTGCGCTTTGTTTGTGGTGGTGCCTCGGGTGAGCGGTGGTTGGTTGTTTTCATTGTGTGACTTTGACGGGTGGGCAGCGTGTGAGAGGATGGCGTGGATCTGATATCCCACGGCCACGATTGTTGTTTGCGTCTAAAACTCCTGTGCATACCAGTGATAACTTGATAAGCTACAGCAGCGGTAGCTACCCCGCATTTCTCGCTCGCAGACATGCTCATGCGGTTTGCCTCCTTTAATCAACGACGAGGCAACTCTTCCCGAAACCACCGTCGTTGAGTTGCGATTGCAATTTCGAAGTGTGATTTTCGGTACGCCTTCGGAACAGATCTCTGTCTATCGCCCTCTCTCTCTCTCTCTCTCTCTCTCTCTCTCTCTCTCTCTCTCTCTCTCTCTCTCTCTACTCTCTCTGTCTCGAGTTAGCCATGCACGTGATTCACTTTTCGAAACAGCATTCCCATGATACAGCAGCGGAAGAATTAAACGGTCGCCCGTCGGACGCGATTCTCTCGTCTTGTGTTTCCTCATTCCTCCCCTCGACCGAACAGGGTGGCTTCCATGGGACCCGGCGACTTCTTCGGCGAGGGAGGGGTCGTTTCGGCACAGCCCAGGGGAGAATCCGTGCGCGCGGTAACCCCTGTCAAGGTAATGAATGCCCGAAACGCCTCATTTGTCTATCAAGGGGGCGGTGAGGGGGGATTGTAGGCTTTGGAATCTGGAATCAAGGGGAGGGGTCATTTTAGGGTGAGTAGGGCTCGATTTGTTTTTGCTCAAAATGAGAGGGTTCGCGGTATGGGGGGGCTTGTTTTGGGGGCGAGTGAAAGGGGGGGAGCACGCGGTGGCTGTCGTGACATCGACTCATTTGCTTGGTTTCAAGTTTTCGGGTGTTCCCGGCGTGTGGCAGAGAGCGGCTCATCCGTTCTTGGAAGCAGGGGAAGTCCGATGGACATTCTATCGCTTTGGTTCTTTCTGCCTCACCCGGATGTTATCTCTATCTGTACACTCACTCACTTGTTGGATTGTGAATGTCAACGTTTGCTTTTGGTGGAACGCTGGTACTGATTCCACGTGCCACCACGGAAGTCCTTGAGGATGAGCAGGTCTAGACATGAACCACACGGGAGGTAGTGAGGGTATTGCATGCGGATAGAAGCGGTAGCACGCGTCACGAAACTACTAGGGTATCTATTGCATCANCCCCCCCCGCCATGTGTGTGGCTTGCGCCCAAACTGCACTTGCAAAGGTGATGAACGTCAGCCTGGCCAGCTGCCACCGGATGATCGACGCGCCTGGAAAGGTGTCTTCCAGCCTCCGTCGGGTGGCTCTCAGGTTGGTTGAGCCGCTCTTCCTCCTTCTCGATTAAAATAAATGCTTGGTCAATGGTCCCAAGTGACAATATTCATCAACGAAATTGGGTCGCTCCCGTGTCCTCTGTCTTCATTGCAACATGTTTGGTCAATGGTCCCAAGTGACTATAATCATTAACGAAACCGTTTTGTGGCTCCTCTGTCGTAACTGAAAGACATGCTTGGTCAATGGTCCCAAGTGGCTGAAACTGTCGGGCCGCTCCTCCGTCTTGACTGAAGGAGATGCTTGGACAATGGTCCCTTGTGTTTACATCATTAGCACAAACAATTGCCCC